ACGTAAATAAAGCACCCCAAAGGAAACAAAAAACTACTACGTCCACGCCGTTGTTCCTGGGTAGTGCTAAGAGTAGTAATTTTTATTAATTTCGGCTACAAATTTCGTCCGCCATCTTGGTCCGCCATCTTGGATCCGCCATTTTAAATTTTGCAAATCTGACTTTAGATTCGTGATCAGTAACCCCAAAAACCGTCGTAAACTTAATTTGGTGCAAATCGGTTGACTAAAATTTTTGTCCGCCATCTTCGTTTGCCATTTTGAAAATTTTAAAACAGCCAAAGTTATACTTGAACGTAAAATTTTTCGCTTTTTCATTTTCCGGTGTCAAAAAGGGAGTTTCCATTTTAAAAAAACCACTTCCGGTTGAAGTAACCCACTTTTGGTCAAAATCAAAAGTTGAAAGGTACGCCATTTTGGTTCCCCCTCGAAACCCTACAACTTTTATATGAAACTTTTTTCGATTCCTGGCCACACAAACGAGTTATTGGAGGTGATAGATTCAGATGACTCACCCTGTATATATATATATATATAAAGGCCATTCCACGTGACAAAATTTAGTTGTAATCGTAAGATTGTATGTCAGATTTTGTATTTCTATGTCTCGCATCTGCGTATTTATTTAACGTAAAAAGTGTGTAATTTCTTGTTTATTTATATCTATGACCAATGCAACTTGGTATATATAATCAGAGTTACAAGATCGAGCCGGGAACAACAAGAGCATCGAAGCAGTGGGGGCACACACACGAGCGAGAACTGCCGTCCGTGTGCACTCGGCTGTTCGGCTCGTGGAAGAGTGCAGACATACTATGTTTCGTCTCTTTCCTAACAAGCCGGTCACAAGGCGAGGCACGTTACCGACGTTGTGCGCTATTCTTGCATATGACAATATCTCGAAACACTTTTTCGAGATTTAGTTTTGTAAAAAATACATAAAATTATTGAGAATAGTAAAACATCTCAATACGTATTATGTATTTATAATGTTAAATTATTAATAGTGAATTAACTGCAATGTAACATTTTTAAATATTTGACGAAAGTTTATTCATGTGTATAAATATGTGTATATTATACATATTTATATATTAAACTTTAAAAAATATAAGAAGTGCCGATACAAACAAAAATCGGAATTTCTTTGTGAATAAATATATTGAATAATCATGATTCTGAATCATTACTGAGTTCTTTGATATTATAATTTAAAATACTTTGCCAATATTGTATATACAGAGTGATCGAAAAGTATCGGACCCCTCTAATATCTTCAGTTAGAATGCATTTTGGAGAAAATGTCCAATAGCAAAGTTGTATGGTTTCAAGCAAGGAGTAAGATGATGACCTTGAGTTTGATCTCGACCATGTCCTTTAAGGTCATTTCACGGTCAAACTTATTTTTTACTATGGAACCCCCTACATTTTATTGCATATTTTTATAGCTTATCTCAAGAACTTTCCAAAACACTGTAATAAAACATTTTTTCATTAAGTACTTTTTGAGTTATAAAGGTTTGAAATTAACAATTTGTTAAGTGGCGTGTGATTCCGGCCAGTTAAGACAAAAGCGGCGTGTGATTCCGGCCAATTAAGACAAGAGTGGCGTGTGGATCCGGCCAGTTAAGGCGAATTTTATTCCAATTGGTCAGCTTGGGCAAAATATTCAATTGTATCAAACAATTCACAACAAATGTTCAAATTGTTGCCCTTCAACAGCCTGGCAATGTGCCAATCTGTTATAAACAGCTGAAACCGCATTCCGGTACGTTTCTGGCAGTATTAGTTCTATCTCTCGAGTTATTCTCCCTCTTAAATCATCTAAATCTTGTGGCTTGGTGGCATAAACTTTACTTTTTAAATAACTCTACAAAAAGAATCAAATAGGGTCAAGTCCGGAGACCGAGGTGGCCACTCAATATGACCCCTTTGTCTTATCCACCTGTCCTGAAAGACCTCATTCAAATATTGACGGACACTGACACCATAATAAAGTAGAGCTTCATCCTGTTGGAAATAAATTTCATCCATATTTCCACCAGCTATGTCTCGAATAGTTGGAACAATTGTTTGCGAAGCATGACTGTGTATACCTGTGCTGTCAAATTGCCTTCAATGAAGAAAGGGCCAACTGATCTACCATTAAGAATACCAGCCCATACGTTAACTTTTTGTGGATAATGGGTATGATTGTCTCTTTTCCAGTGAAAATTAACGTCACTCCAGTATCTACAATTGTGTCTATTTACATTTCCAATCAGTTCAAATGTTGCCTCATCAGAAAAAACAATATTATTAAGTAATAAAGGATCGTCAACAATCATCTCCATCATAAGATTACAAAATTCGATGCGTTTATCAAAATTGTCTTTGGACAACTCTTGGCACAAATGAAGTTTGTATGGATGTCATTTATTCAATTTCAAAATTGTACGGACAGATGCATGACCAATTTTGTATTCTTGTGCAACGCGATTGATGGAAATATGGGGATTTTCAACGACAGACTGTAAAACATCTAATGCCTTATCATTATTTGTTGCTGTTTTACGTCTACCAGATCTTGAGCGGTTTTTAACGCTGCCAATGTCCTCGTTGAAACGTTGAATAGTATGGATTACAGTACTTTTAGAGATCCTATTATTTGCATTCCGAAAATTTTTATTTAATAATCGCGTTACTGTTTTATACTCTTTTTTGTTGATCTCCCCATTCTCGCATCATTAACAGTGTTATTTGATCTTTTTCAGAAAGCTCCGCCATTCTTAATTAGAGCAAAGAAGAATTAATCAGGTAAGTGATAGGAAATTGATCTAAATAATGAAGTAGAAAACAATACTAATTATTAAGTGTTGGTCCAACTATTGATTTGTTTATTTCAACCAGCACTAGCAAAAAGCTTGTTGAGCAACTAAAAATCAAATAGATCAATTAATAATATTTTCGAAAAATTTATGGGTTATTGAAAACAAAATGAAGATGTTTGAAACAATCAATTGAAGCGTAATGGCTTCTTTTGTTACAAAAAATTTTTGGGGCTGTTTGTTTTCGTCCACGAGGTAACTGCTGCTCGCTAAGAAGAAGACACCACTGCATCAAAGATTAAAATCAGTGATCCATATTGTTTGCTCAAGAGCTCGTACATTGGTGCCTGCGAGAGTGAGAGAATAAAGATCGGACCCGCCAACGCTTTCGGGCAGATTCCCGCTAACGCCTTCGGACATCACGCGTTCAAGCAACTTTTCGCGATCACTTTCGGGCAGTTTTCCGCCGTAGCCTACTAGCATAACCGCTTGACGCTGTACAACTTTGCTATTGGACATTTTTCCAAAATGCATTCTTATTAAAAATATGAATTACCTTTACTTCACCGACAATCATTTCATCAGTAATCGTTTCACCGACACCATTTCATCGACACCGCATTTCACCGACAATATTTACTTACCGACACGTTTAGCTCATCGACAATCATTTTACCGAAAATGTTTTCATCGACATCGAGTTTTGCCGACAATGTTTTTGATAACAAATAAACATATAAGATGAATTATTATAGAAATTGACATTAATACTTTTATTTCATTACTTTTTCATTTTTTTAGAAAAAAAGTCGGGAAACATATACAGAAATAAATTTTGTGAAGGCATTAGAGAGAGCACATAACTTGCAAATGTAATGATTCAGTTATTGATGTTTACACTATCGATTAAAGTTATATTGAGTTAACATATCTAATGAGTTATGTTATCCAATTTAATAATTATGTATTCATGAAGTAAGATGTCATATTGTAAGATGTTATAATTCTTGATATTAATCATTAAAAAAACGAAGTATTATTTTATGTCCTAATTTATGTAATACAATAGAAAAAGCAATGAAATAAAAGTATTAATGTCAATTTCTATAATAGTTCATCTTATATGTTTATTTGTTATCATAAACATTGTCGGCGAAGCTCGATGTCGATGAAAACATTATCGGTGAAATGATTGTCGATGATCTAAACGTGTCGGTAAGTAAATATTGTCGGCGTAATGCGGTGTCAATAAAATGGTGTCGGTGAAACGATTATTGATGAAATGATTGTCGGTGAAGTAAAGGTAACCCAAAAATATTAGGGGGATCCGACACTTTTTGATTAATGTATTTTTTTTAAACCAATTAATTGGTCTCATTATTCCGCGCACAAAAGTATTAAGGTTATGATTACTAAAAACTAAATAATATTTTACAAGATATTTTACATTTTGTGTAAAAAAATTGTTAACTTTAAACCTTTACAACTCAAAAAGTACTTAATGAAAAAATGTTTTGTTATAGTGTTTTGGAAAGCTCTCGAGATAAGTTATAAAAATATTGTTGTGCGCCAATTTTTGTATTAAAAGTTAAGTGAGATGAGGCCATTGAGCAATGTCATGAGACATCACTGTCATTGCTCAATGACCTAGTTAAGTTGCAGGAAGGCAGCAGTTCTAGGAAGAACTGCTGGTTGCCGCAGGGTGCGACACATCGCCGCATTGTCCGATGTGCAACGCAGCATGTGTCGACTCCGGCACCGGTAACTAGCACGACCGTTGCTAGGACCGGTGGGCCTGCTGAATCAGCGCGATTGATTTACTATAAATTGATCGCGTGGATGAAGCAGAAGAGAGAGCGTGATTAGACTGCTAGCTCACTGTGTGGCTCCGCAAGCCAGAGAGTTTACCACAGTGAGGAACATCCGTGTAAGAAACAAAAGGAACGTTGTAATCGGAGCAATAAAGATAAGAATACAAGTTCGTGATTAGAACTTCATCTTTACCACCCGACCTTCCTCGACATCCAACAAATTTTGGTGACAGCGGTGGGATCTCTCATTCCGTGTGTCAAGGACGGGACTCAGCAGAAGATTCCGGTTGGATCAAGGAAACAGACACTGGGTGAGAAAGAAAAAAAAGAACGAGAACGGTAAAGTTCAAGCTTAAAATAGGGGTGTATTTTTTTTTGAATTATATGAAACATGTATATAAGTATAAAAATATACATGGAAAAACCCCCGTTCCGATCTGGAATACTGCTCCTGAAACAAAAAGAAAAGGAGTCGTTAAAAGAGTGTCTTGCGAACTACGGGTTCGAAAGAGAAAGAAAGACACCGCGAACTCACAGTCTCGAGTTACACGGCAACACTGACCTAACGCGAGCCAAGCAACGGGCAGTGACACAAGGCGGAGATAAGGAAGCGGCCGGACTGCAGTAGCAGAACGGAAAACAAAATCTACCGCCGGAAAACTCCGGAAGCAGCAAGCGACAAGCAGACAAGCAGCTGTGACGGAAAGGCCAGGAAGGGCACCAAGGAACCAGCTAAGGACAGCCAAAAAAGCAGCAAAGGAGACAAGGCAGTCAACGCAAGCAAGGCAGCGATAGCGGAGAAGCAGCGAGACAACGGACCAGCAAAGCGGCGAGGCAGCGGCAGCGGCGGCGCGAGGAAAGCTGAGTCAGCAACACCACGCAGATTCGACTCTCGTAAGCGGAATTAGATCAACTACTGTAAGTCGAATAAATTTTGTAAAAGCGAGCGAAACATATGTTCGGTAACTGGCGTTTGCAACAACGCGGCGTACAATCTGAGCGAGTAGCGCGGTCGCTACGAAGTCTATTACCGGTACGGGAACCGAGAACCGCACCGGCGGCGCTTTATCAAGACGCAAAAATAAATAGGCAGGATATGAATTTGAGTCCGAATGTAATTGTAGAAAAAGAATTTCCGTTTGATTTAGACGGTAGTATAGCTGGTCATTTATAGAGTGTAATAAATCGCTGTAGAGTTGAGAACAGTAGAACCCCGAGCAGTAGTACTCAGAGGTCTTCTTTAATTTCATACGAGAGCGAGTTGCTTTACACAAGACAACGAGCCGAAATGAATAACAAAAGTATGAAGGGAGGAAATGTTGTGCGCCAATTTTTGTATTAAAAGTTAAGTGAGATGAGGCCATTGAGCAATGTCATGAGACATCACTGTCATTGCTCAATGACCTAAAGTTAAGTTGCAGGAAAGCAGCAGTTCTAGGAAGAACTGCTGGTTGCCACAGGGTGCGACACATCGCCGCATTGTCCAAAGTGCAACGCAGCATGTGTTGACACCGGCACCGGTAACTAGCACGGCCGTTGCTAGGACCGGTGGGCCTGCTAAATCAGC